AGTTTCTCCGCCTGGAGATATTCTCACTATTTCACTTTTGTCGAGCACAAAGAAAAGAACGTTTTAGTTAAATGTAAGTTGTGTCTTGGCGGGTCAAAGATCCTATCCACTGCCCAAAACAGCAATTCAGATCTGTTGAAACATCTGCAGAAACAACATGCTGGGACGAAGCTAGTAGCTAAGACCACAGACCCAGACTCATCCGACGCCACTCCACCTCCACCTCAGCAACAGCTGCTGGATTTTAACCGAGGGACTGCTAGCCAGGGAAAAGTTGATAAAGCCATTGCACGGTATGTTGTAGAACGCATGCAGGCTATTTCTACTATTTCTATTTCTTGATCAACAGATTGTATTATTCTCCAATGCAGTAACAGTACTGAAATGAAGGCTATAAGGGCATTAATGGGAGCCCTTTGTTTAAGTAACTAATGCGTTACTGTTGGTGTAAGTAATCAGTAAAGTAACTGAGTTACTTTTGAAATGAAGTAACTAGTAATGGTAACTAGTTACTGGTTTTCAGTAACTAGCACAACACTGGTCATGAGTGGCTATAGTTAATATGTGTTACACTGTAATTCAGTTTAAAAAATAAAAGATACAAAAAGAGGAATCAGTTAAGGAAGAGTACACAGTTTCAAACTTTCCATGTACGATAAAATTGGTTGCCATGTCCTATAACATTTGCAAGTGAAGCCACTTTATTTTCTCCATGTGTTCATAAGTCCTGTCGCCCACTGGACATGAGTGGGAGACTCCTCCTGCTTCCGCCTCATAAGCATAAGTCGCCTAGCAACTAGGGACAGGTTCTAGCTTTGACTGATGAGAGTGAACACGACTCACTCTCCCAGCATCTCCCCGGTGCTTTTGTCCAGCAGTCTGACGGTAGAATCCAGACTGGAGCTCAGAGTGCACTGACCGTCCTGACTGAAACACACACATGTGATGGGACCTGCAACACACACACACACACACACACACACACACACACACACACACACACACACACACACACACACACACACACACACACACACACACACACACACAAGAGACACACACACACACACACACACACACACACACACACACACACACACACACACACACACACACACACACACACACACACACTCACACGCACACAAACACAAGAGAGGTAAATCTACATGCCAACATCTCTGAAAACAAGACACACACCCAGCAGTGTACAAAGGTGCATGAGTCTATTACTGAGTGACATCCTTTGTAGTCTTTACACACAGATACCAGAGCAGCAGGAGCAGAGGGTCAGAGGAATGGGGGGATGCAAAACACTGAGCTATTTTACAGTAATAGTAGAACTACACTAGAGTGGGAGAAATAGAGCTGGTCTCCTGCTCATGTGAATTGATGGTGGTGGGTCGATAGGTCTTCATTTGGCTTCTAATTGGCCCTGTCTGCATGAGAACTGCACAGGAACACTGACCACCTCATACACAGCTGATCATTAGCACACTAGATGTTTCTGGAACAAATAATGTTAACATAACTAATAGGGATACTTGGCTGTTCATTCTGCACTTTCATTCCAGTTCCTTTTTTCTCATTTTCAGAACCAGTAATAATCAGCAACTCCAATACCACCAGCAGAGAGAGGAAAATTTGATCATGCTGCAGATGGGCTCAAAGTTTCAAGCATATATACATTTCAATATATATTTATATAGCTTTTGATATTTTCTCTGACGGAGGAAATTGTTTGATCAATTGGGAAGATAGCAGCATTTAGTTCATTTGTCCACATCCACATTTAAGACCATGGTCTAGATTGATTCATATATGTATTTTTATTTGTATCTGTTGAGTACAGTTATTAAAGTTTACAGTACACTGATTAAATACATTTATACATCTATAAATATACCTGTTCTATTTACGTTTTGTATGAAATAGAGCAATCTCTCTTTAAACACAACACATTCCCTCAGTGGCTCTCAAATGTTTTATAATGTCTTCTGTGCTGGTGACATCCCATAGAGGGGGGTCGTTCACATTCACAGTTAGTGATAGGCCGGGATCAGAGGGTCTATAACTCATTCTGAAAATAAGTGCTGTCCCTTTAGAGAGCGGCCTGAGCTAATAGTTGCTATCAGTGACCGAATAAGTCAAACAAATAACCCTGTAATGATGAGCTATATGTTCAGCCTCTGAGACCCCACTGAATATTCACACTGAGAACAATACAAACACACCCTGACCTCAGTGACCTCACACTCCAGCCCTGGCACACACAGACACACTTACACACACATACACATACACACACACAATGGGTAACTTATTAGGTTATTATCTTTCCGCCCCATAAAATAGGAATAACTTAAAGCGCCGCCGCAATTAATAACCCAACTATAAATCTGAATATTCCCCATGAATATTATTCTATATTACTCACACACCCGGACACACACACACACACTGTCATCTGCTGTGACCTTGCTTGCTGCCAGCCACCAAAGCACACACAAACACACAATCACACATACACACACAGTTAGTAGTGACACTTACTACATTATGGAATGATATCAATTTGACAAACAAACACAACTTTTCCATTTTAGGAATTTAGCAGATTGTTTGTCTTCTGTACCATCTGGCTGGTACACAACGAATCAAAGGTAAATAACCATTGATCCTGGGATATATTGATGTGTTGATCGTTTATCATCTAAGCTGGTAATCCAATGCAGCTGCCAATTTCCGGAGCGTTCTTGTTAATTAGATGCAATGGCAAGAAAATGCTTAAGTGCACTAGCTTCTAAAAAGGCTCACTTCATTAAATGATTATGAATTGTAGTTATTATTTGTATATATGATAAATAAATATATGCACTAATCAGATCAGTAATAATGTAATGTTCACTTCCTGGTGTCAGTCCTACACCAGACAATTACAAATGAAGATACTTATAATTGTTGCCTCATTGATAATTGATTTATTTTTGGTTTAGTTTAGTTTAATAGTACAATATATTACACTGCTGAGCCAGAGTTAGCTATATTGATATTTTTACTTTTACAAACGACGCTAATGTTTTTTTAAAGCAAATCTTTTGAAAGATGTACAAACAGTATATCACACATAAAAAACCCACACACTAAATAAACACCACTGTCAATTAGAAAACGATTGCTTCCATACAGTGGTTGTTCATAGGTCATCACATGATTGTTTCAATTATGTTTAAAATATGCAAGCTTGTGTTCTTTCTGATATTAATGGGGATTGAGTTCAATTTTTGTTCCCTGGTACTTTTTGAAACTGTGATGACTGCAATCAGAGAATCATATAAGTACATCAGGTTTCATAGAGCTAAAACATTTCAAGTGCTACTCAACTGGCTTTAGATAAGCCAGTCCTTTATTCGTCTATAAGTGCTTTGTTAGCAATTCTATCGGTCAAAGTTTTGCTGATGCAGAGCGAAGGGCACAGGCTGAAACACATTAGTGTCATTTATAT